TTCTAACACATTCCCTGGCTGTATACTTTATTTGATACCCATTTTAATTGCTTCTTAACACATAAGGTATGTATAAATAGCAACAACTTGAAGCTTTTAGGCATCTACACATAATGAAAAACACCTACTGAGATCAATCTTACACCAAATTAGGAAGAAGGTCCAATTAAGTAACTTTGATCATGGCATAGCTGTTTGTGTCAGACAGTCTGTCATTGTTGGTATAATAAAACTCTTTGTGAATAATAGAAAACATCCAGGGAGCGGCAGTATTGTGGATGAAAATGGCTCATGGATGTCAGAGAACACAGGAAAATAGGATTAGAAATAGAATTTCAAATGGAAAAAATTATTAAAATAAAAAAAACATTTGCACCTTAAAGACTACTTTCCTGTTTTTCTTTTAATAATTCCTCATAAAAAAGACCATTCAAGCAGCACATTTTTCCTGATGTTTTTGAGAATATGCTGTAGGGGTGAAAGCTGCAGCTGCTACTAGTGTGAAGTGAATGGACAGCAACAAAGCATTAAAGCAACAATGGGGAAATGCTGTCCCCTCAATGCTAATGTAAACCCTGGTTGGATAAGGATTCAAAACTGGATATGAAGATGAAATCTGACGCACAGTTTCAGTGTTACAACTGATAAAATAATTGCTGTCTGTTGTTCTACAGTAGGCTATGGTGTAAGTGAGCAATATATGAAAAAAAAAGAACTATGAACTAGTTCATTTTTTGGAACTGTGAACTTAGTTCAAATTTTTGAATTATGAACTATGAACTGAACTAGTTCATTTTAAAATGTGTGAACTGAACTTTGAACTAGTTCACGTAGAAAGAGAACTTTCCCAACACTGCAAATGGTAGTGTCAAAATTGTATGCCAACAACTTGGCATGACTTTATCTTTGGATCAGTGGTTCTTGCTGCTGTTGGTGTGATGGTGTTTTGGCGATATTTTACTCTAACACTTGGAGTCTTATTGCACCAGCTGTCAATTGCCTAAACACCACCACCTACATGAGTATTGTTGTTGACCCTGTCCATACCTTAATGACTGCCTAGTGTTAATCTTCTGAAATCTACTTTCTGCAGGAATTCACCATGTTATAAGCCTCAAATAAACTTAAATTGTTTTTGAACTTGATAAAGAGGTTCCTTTATACAAACATTGCGACATTGTGAATATATAACCAACAACTTGGGACAACTTCTGATTTCATCATATTGACATGGGTCAAAGTCTTTTTTTTTATGTTTCAAAGACCCTCATGTAACATGATGAGTGACAAATTTATTTTATAACTGTCACTGCTGCATATATATAATGAATAAACAACAGACCAGCCTCTACGATTTGTTTCTTACAGTGAAAAATATATATATTAGATAATAAATAAAGAGCAACTAGCAGATGTTAACATTGCTATTTTTATTTACAAGGCGATAAAGACAAGAAGACTGCTAGGGGAGCTCTTATGACTGGGAAAGGGGAGGATAATAATCAGATATATGTCACTTATATTTTAGCCCTAAGTTAAACAACAGCATATACTGAGATACAGAATTACAAATATGTACAGTAACACATCTTACAACCAAGGACATAAGAGCTTTATTTTCTTCATTGAAACTTTAAAAAATCTCCTAATGCATGAAAAAAAAATTAGATTATTATGCATTTGTCCAGATGAGAAGCATTTTCTGACTAGGATTTTGCAGTTTGATGTTCAGCAGCATAAAGCAAAAATCAGCACTGGAAAATATTTTCATCTAACATCATTTGATTTGTATAAAGAAGGCATCAGACAAAGAATCATAACACCGAGCAGATGACAGATCATCCACATGATTCGACTCAAAGACATGAGCAGATTAAACGTGCATGAGTGTGCTTAATATGTTTCACTTCACCAAGGGGAAGTGGCACTGGCCATAATACAGGCTGAAGGCATCTTCCTGTGGGAAGGGAGCCAGTGCATCTGACCATGCTGATATCCCAGACTCAGGCATAAAAAGTATCTCTGCATTTCTAAAGTAAGACAATTTTAAGCTTGCAGGACCATTTTGATTTTATGTTATAACCTCCTTTTTAGAACATTTTAATACATTTATGTAAATTGGTCTTATTGATAAGCATTATTGGCTACTTAGTGATATCCCCCATGCATCATCTGAGCCAAGTGGTCCATCAGTGTACTTTTACAGTTCACTCTTCAGTCTCCTCCAGCCTCGCCCCAGAGACCAAATGCATCATTTAAAGCTCATACAATTCATTGCTTCCCAAGCCACTGGCTCGTACCAGCCTGATGGAGGCATTTTTCGCCACTTAGAAGCACACGCAGTGTGTCCGACCCCTTTCTCCAATAATATGTCCTCTATTACCATCAGCCATTTATGCCTTTTTTTCTCCACTTCAGTAGGCACTGAGCACCAGCTTCATTAAAACTAATTGAATTGGAAACATGTCTGCCGCAGGAAACATTAACTCCTTTTATAAAGGAAATTTCTGATTTCAGTTTGTCAATAAGGTCAAAGGACTGGGCCCAAGTGTTCAATAATCCAGCATAGGCTTAAACTGGAGACATAAACCCCAAGTCTATTTGATTTAAATTTTGACATCCATGTTCTGTTAGCAGTTTGTTTCTACTGTTTATTTATTTTTTCTTAGTTAAATGTACAGTGCAAAATTATTAATGTACCTTGACCTGTTTCATTTTATGTTAAACTAGAATCGAAACATTTTATTTAGATTTTATGTAATAGACCGAAAGTGTCAAACATTTGATAACTAGAAAGAGAACAATGGATGGTTTTCGCTTTTATTTGCAAGAATTGTTTCCTGGATTTGTATTCAAATCCCTGAGTCAATATTTGTTGCAGTTACAGATCTTTGCATCTTTTTCCAAATGGCGTCAAATTATTGTCAATTCTTCTGTGTAGAAAGGTTTGAATTGAGATTCGGGGGGGTGAATGAAAATTTCAGGTCTTGACAGAAATTTCAGCAGTATTTAAATTTTGATTTTTCCCTGAGCCATACTAATACAATTCTTGGATCTAAATCTTCCCATTCCAGCTCTTCCTTAATGTTTAGAGTTATTATCCTGCTGGAAGTTCATCCTTCTCATCTCTTGTTGATTTTTGTAGCTGGTTTGAGTTTTTCCTGCAGGTTTGTCATGTGTTTAGCTCCATACTTTGCTTCCACATGTCTCAAAAGCTTCTCTGTGAATCCCCACAGCATGATTTTTGCATCACTGTTTGGAAAAACTAATCCTGTGTTTGTCCAAAGCACTTTATAGCCTTAAAAACATTAATTAATTTATCAAAAATATACTATATACTACAATATACATGCTTATATTGCATGTAAAATATAATATAAAACAATATATTTGCTGCTATCATGACAATGTTTCTGAATAGAACTGCTTGTGTGGCCTGTATAAATGTGCTGAAAAATTGCTTTTGGTTTTATATTGTGATAAACTCACATAATAATTGGGCTACTTTTTCCTAATCTTCATGCTCATTCAATGCAGAACATTATGAAACGGATTTTTAAGAAGAGGAGAAATTTCCTGTTTCTTTGGCAAAAAAAAATGGGAGACATAAAGAAAGAGGGAAAGAAGAGAGTGCAGATTAAACTGATCAAGGAGAAAAGCAAGCCACAGAGTGTGGGATTTCACACTCTGCTATTCACCCAAACCACCATGTATTTAGTCTTTGTATAATTTACAGTGCAAAGATGTTAGATATGAATCTCTTTTAAGACGTTTTGCTGCCCAGTTTAAAAGCGGGTTACCTTCAGAGCTCCTGGAAGTGATGACTGAAATCAGTCCTATAATTTTATTTTATTTTTTTTTATGTTCTGTTGAGTCCATTGATATATGAGAGATTTAGCTCCAGCATTTCCACTCTGCTTTGACATTTTGTGTATCCATGTAAAATTCCCTACATCTCCTACTGGTTCAGGGTGATGCTCAATTTTCGTTTTCCACTCCCACCACCAGAACATTCTGCATGTAGGGAAAAAAATATATTCTCATCTTATTTGACCATTGCAACTTACTCCAACCACTTTTGGGCTCTTGGTGAACTTTATCTTGGACATTCATTAGCGATGGCTTGAACAATGGCATAAAACATTTCTATTATTTAGCTAATATCTAAAAGTAACTGGTATCAGAGGATTTTATTTAAAGCAATCAGACTAATGATTTCTTATGTGATTCACTTTGTAATTTTCTGATTTGTAATTGTAAAGAAATGTTGAACAAACAGGAGACATTTTCCTTATACTTCCCAATCATATCAATAATTTCTGCAAGGCATTATACATTTCAAAACATGAATCAAAAGTGTAACGTTCGTCATCATTTGGTGTCCGTTTCATTGTATCATTGATTTATGCATTTGATTAGCATAATTGAGTCTTGGAGGAAGTATCACCTTAATGGATTTCACTGACCACACTTGAAACAATAACTCGATTGCATGTATCAGAAATCAATGCACAGCAACAGAGCCACCACAGCTGTTTAATGTGAGGTAAATATTTATGAGTGATATGACTGGACATCAAGTTCAGTCAGTCTTCTTTGAACGGCTCTGTGCGAATGATTAACCTCATTTTACTGCTGCTGTCTGGGTGGGTAATGGCCATTAGAGCTCAGAAGGACCAAGGCCTTTGATTTTTGGCTTCTCATCATTCACAGCTTGTCGCATCCCTTCAGCCTTCATACATGGCTGCTGAATTGATTGTCTGTTTAGTCCTATGAATGATAAAGCTGCTCTGGGGCCACAGGCTGAGACAGACAGACACAGCTCACCTCCCATCTATATGCAAGGTGGTTTGCTTTTTTATGCCTTTGCCTTGCTGCTTGGAAATAAGCTTTTTGCATTATTTATCGAACAATCATCGGCATTCAAAATGTGACGAATCAGTCACAGTATTATAACTATAGGCAGTTGTATCCGAAGGGTCATCACTCAGCTCGTTATTCATTCATTTTATTTATTTGGCAGGGCTTATGGGATTGTGTAATAAACATGTTTTATTACAAGCTCAGGCAGCAGAGCACTTCACAAAACCGGGGGGAAGTTTACACATAAAAATGTGACACTGGGTGAAATCTGAGCGAAAGATACATAGAATTATTATTTAATGTGCTGGCACTACCAGGAGTTGCAGCAGAGCAAAATCTCTAACAAATTTATTTTTTTATAATGAAATAAGGAGGTGAGAGAGAGGAAGTATGTTTGTAAGGTTTGGAATAGCTTCTAATGCCAGCCATGAAAATCATCCATCCATCTTCAGCCGCTTATTCCATCAGGGTCGCAGTGGGGCTGGTGCCGATCTCCAGCAGTGTTGGGGCGAGAGGCAGGGTACATCTTGGACAGGTTGCCAGTCTTTTGCAGTGAAACACAGACAAACCGAGAGATAAATCCATGCAAACACACCCACACCAAAGGACAATTTAGAGAATCCAATTAGCCTAACAATCATGTTTTTGGAATGTGGAAGTAAGCCGGAGTACCCAGGAGGAACCCATGCATGCACAGGGAGAACATGCAAACTCCATACAGAAAGACAACAAGACCCCAGGAATTGAACCCAGAACATTCTTGCTGCAAGGCAACAATGCTACCTATGCAGCCCCCATGAAAAACACTGATGCACTATTTAACTGAATTATTGTCCTCAGGGATTTGTGGATAGTTGGTAGGTACTGTAAGATATATACATTATTAAATATATCAAAAGTTTGGTTGTTCATAGTTTTTTGTTGTTTTTTTTAATGTTTTATTGTGTAACTTAACTCAAATGTAGGCAACAGGTTAACAGTCTCATGACTGAATATTTTTTAGAAAGATTTTGAAATTGAAATTACACGTAATGGAGGGAAAGCGTGGGCATAACAATTGGAGGATTTTAGGAAACTAAAGTAAACTTGACACTTGGGGAAATGATGACCTGAATTCAAAACAGATTGCAGATTTGAATGACAGCTTGGAGCTAAGAAAACTGAGAAAACTTAATGGGAGGAAACTAAATGATCACATAGGATGCAGGGAAATTAATAAAATAAAAAGTGAAAACAAAGCAGAGTTAAATAAAAAAACACAGAATCATTTTAACTCCAAGACAATGAAAACAAAAAGGAAAAGCTGGCAAAAGCTTGTTGATGCAATTGTTAATCAAAATTCAACCTGTTACAATGAAATCTATTCTCTAATTAAATTAGAGGACGACTTAGTAAACACACCTCACTAATGTGGCACATGTCATGTGAGAAAACTTTTCTGTAGCTTGACACCCTATTCATATATTCTTTATGTATCTCAAGGTATCACACTGTTAGAAGTAAATCAAAATTATTCTAAAGTTAATTTGGAGGAATTTCACATTAGAAACGTATATTACTGGTCAAGCATTCATTTCTGCTCATTTAGATAATTGTGACATAGGTAATTAGAAACCCAAATTCAATTTCTCACAAAAAAAAAGTAGAACAAGCGGATTTTTCAAAAACTGTGAGCTGTCCAACAGTCAGCAACATCTGAAATCGTTAACCAAAACTTTGAAGCCAAGCCTGGTCAAGAGTTTGTGGAGACTCACAATGTGTATACTGCTTGTTTTCAGTCTTTCAAGAGCATCCACACAGAGATGTATCAAGGACAGGAGGTAAAACTATTATATCCCCTATTTTAACCCTCTATTGAATCACAGACAACATCAGAAACATCATACCAGGTAGGAAGGAGGAAAACATTTTTTTGCTCATTGGTCTAAAGTACCTCTTGTGGATGAAAGTACATTTATTCCATTAAATCCAGAAATATACCTCAAGATGAAGAAGGGGGGGAAATGCAAACACTAAGTTGATTGCGGTTCTCTTTTAAAATTCCACTGTCTTTGATGATTTGAAGAGTCACGTCATGTGAAGTCGGTCCATAGTGTTGTTTTAAGTCCAAAGTCAGCATGGCTTTCGACTTCATGGTACCCTCTGTTACAAGCTTTATGAAGATGCTGATTTATTCTGCCAGCAGAACTTGGCACCTGCCCACCCTGCAGAAAGTACAAATAGCAGCTTTAATGACCAAGATACCACTGTGCTTAGTTGACCATTTAACTGACCTGACCTAAGTCCCTCTGAGATTCCATGGATTTTGCCTAGGCAAAGAGAAGACACAGCAGACCCCACAATGTGGAGTAGCTGAAGGCAGCTGTTAAAGCAACCTGAGATAATTTAAAACCTCAGCAACGCCACAGGCCGATTGCTGCTGTGGTACAGCAGTAAAGGTGAGTATTCATAAGAAAATAAAACAAAGTATTGAGCTCAAATACATGAAGTCAGCAAGGAAACAACTTTTTCTTTATTATTTAACTTGTCTTAATTCTGTTAGAATTTTCTAAAAACTATATTTTGGATTTTGGATCCCATAAACCCTTTAAAATATTTAACTATGCAATGTATGATTTTTTTTTTATTTGTTTGTTTTTTCTTTTTCCAATCTAAGCAATTGGAAAAAAATCAATTCATAGTCCTTGGAGTTTCTATTTGCTGCTTAAAAGAAAATACCTTTACTGCAGATTGATGCAACCTCAATGAATTGTGAGCAGTGGATGATCTGCAGTACAAATGCCTCATATCAAAAAGGAGGAAGGGGCAATTAAAAAAAAACTTTCATCAGTGAAATACTACCTCAAACAGTTTTTGCAGCACACACATGAACAAACAACTCAATAAGTTAAAAAAAAAGGAACAACTGATGTGCTTCATGCAACATCATTCAATGCTTGCTGTGGGCATGCACATGAGTTGATGCTGTAATTGTGTAGCAAAAATGCAGCTTTCTAACTTGATGCTTTTCACTGTGGAAAGAGGCATTTAGCAGCAGCTGCAGAGTGCATCTTCTTCTCCTACACGGACTCGTGCACCTGCTTGCTCAGGGTGCACTGAATGCATAGCAATTCTCATTTTTCCTTTTGTCTGTCTGTTTATGGTGCTCACATAGTCACGCATAAACTTCCCCCGATGTTAAAAGAAAAAAAGAATAAAAAATCAACAGGGTCCACAATGATTTTAAAGAAACCTTTCTGGGATGTGTAATTATGCACGAATACCGACAGAAATATTAGCTCTATGAGTCATGTTTTATTGTATCGAGATAGACATGTTAAACCCCCAACTGTACTTAGAGTCAACAAAGGGAAACTTGTGACATTGTCTCCGCGCCCCCCTTTCCAGCAGATCTGCTAAATGTCAGCAAACTGGTTCTGAACGGAATCCCAATTTGCCTTGGAATTAGCGTTTTTACGCTGACGATCTAATCATTTAGACAATTTATTGCCTGCTGCTATTATCTCTCAAAATAAGCTGTTCCCTTCACCGTGATCATGTGATAAATGTGGAGAAGTCTTGCCTCAGAGCCCTGCGCGGCGTCTCCTCTCTGAGCTGACAGCGTGAGGGAGACGCTCTGTGACAGCGGCCAAAGCTTTACTTTTTATCCGACCATCTTTGCCATTTTTACGCTGATCTAAATCATTTTATTTCCTATTTTTACGCTGATCTAAATCATTTTTATTTCCTCGTTTTCGCATGTAAACCAAATGTAAAGTTCGACTCATGTATCCATGTTTTTCTAAGAAAAACAAACAAACAAAAAAATCATAAAATAAAAAGAGAAATGGGCAGGACAACTGTTCTATTAAAACCTTTATTTTTCTAAATCGACGCATGTCATTTTAAATTAAATTAAGGTTTGGAGAAAAATCCAGATTTAAAGGTATATAAGTCTTAACCTAAAATACAGAGTGGTTTCATACCACAAATAATGTCGCGTTCACTTTGCAGTTAATTTTTAGGTGAAGACAAGAGTGGATGCATTTCAGCTATTTGTAGCCTACTTAAAAAAACGCATTTTATTAAAGTTATTAAAACTCAGTTTTTATTATTATTATGGCCAAAAAAGGAGTAAAACTTTTTTCCCTATAGAGTGTGATTTACATCTAAACTGTCTTATTTGTGTCAGCCCTGGCAATGCTGAAGAAAATGACCCCACAGCATGATGCTGCCACCACCAAACCTGCTTCCTTGGCGGGCCAAAAACATTTCTAAGTCTGTCGCTCCTGACCAGCGCGCCTGCTGCTTATAGAGTTCTCACAGGTTTAAGCACAAAGCAAAAGGTAGGAAATCAAAGTTTTTCTTCTCACTTCACTTCTATAAATGCAGCCTTCATGCTCAAATTCCACGTCATGCACCTCTGCGTAATTTCTGCTAACCGCCTTGGTTATTGTGATTAATTCCGAATGTGCAAATGCCGACCGTTCCTGCTTTTATTTACTTTGGCAGAACTCCGTTTGTTTATTTAATTTGGAAATTTGGCAGCAAAAAAAGTCGACTGAAGTTCTTTTGATCAGTTGTCTCTTTCCTGTCGAAGGACATCATCCCCACATCACCATGCTGCCACAAACACAGCGCTTTACTTGCAGGCCAAACAACTTCGATTCTTTCTAATGACGAGAGCAAATTCGTTATATTTGTTATCTCGCCCAAATAGCTTGTAGCACGCTTCACAAACATAAACAAACAAATAAATGCAAATATTTTTTCCGCCACAGCTCAATTCAACCGACTCCTTTGTGAAGGGTAGAATTGTTTAAGACATGTTTCTTTGTTTTTTAAAATAGTTCCTACAATTCACAACCGGTTAGATCACTTTTATACATTAACTGTACAGCTTAAAGAAGAAAATCTGAATAAAATTAACTACAAAATGCTTCTTTCCTTGTTTTATTCCCTCAAAAATTGTGCATTAAGTCGTGCGCTTTATTTACTTAAACACGGCAAAGTTTTTGAATGGAATTTCACCCACTTAATGGCCTACATGATTACATAGGCCTAGTTTAAAAGACACTATTTATTACTTTGCTACTTTTATGGCAATGAAAGGAACACATGTTTGTATTTTTCAAAGCTCAAAAAAAAAAAAAGTAGTTTTTTTTTTATTTTAAGATTGAATATGTTTGATATTTCTTTAAAACGCACATTTAAATCTTTTATTTTATTAAATATACAATGAGTTTTTACATTATTAGAATGTGGGAAATATTCAGGGAGCTTCCAGCAAACTGATTTAAATAGATTCGTAATCAGATCTAATATTTTTGATTGACACTGTCGCTTCACGGAGGCGTAAATTAAACCACTGTGCGCTAAAATTACCAAAGAGCGCGTTATGAAGTGATGAAAATCAAACAACACTAAAATTAAAACATAATGAGTATGCATCTATTGTGTGGAAATTGTCCGCAGTTTTAATAGCAATATGTTAGTTGGTTTTAAAATACATCAATAAAAAGTATTAAAATGAAATAAATAAAAAATACAAAAATGTAAAATTACCATCTAAACACTGGCTTTAATTTTACATGCTGTTAGCGCAGTTGGTAACCCATGGTAAGAAAAAAAAAACTGAAAAAGGAAAAGAGTTTGTAGAAAATATACCAAAGTTTGTCATGCCTGTAAAGAGGATTTGGCTTCATTTCAGATGAATTGTTTTCAAAGTTTTATTTGTAAACATTAAATATTTCTTTCTCTCTAAAGATTTTGAAGTCGGAATCGAAAGCGTTTACACAAGTTGTAATTATTACATCATGATGCCAAAAATGATCGAGGCCTACATCACAAACTTTTTTTTTCCCCTTTCGGCTTCCAGAAGTGTTAAATCAAAGCTACTTAGACGTTCATAAAGACATTAAAAAAAAATCATAGACAACGTGCTCAGCGTGAACTTTGATGGAGTTATTTTTTTTAAATCGTTTAAATTGCACCATGCTTTAGTGTAGCTCCTGGCAATAGAAATAATAAATATATAGAAACGCTTATATTCAACAGCAACAATACTTACAGCACATACAAACAAGGAATGTCTGACAGTTTTTTTCGTTGTTTTTTTTTTTTTTTTTTTTTTTTTACAAACACCATGAAGGAAGGGGTCCCCTCATGTTTTTCTATACAGATGATGAGATATTATAAGGAGTGCCATAACTACCAATCTGTATCAAATCTAGCAGACTACATAGTGTCCGGTATATTTTTCTATATATAGACATCACCTCAGCAAGTGCCTATAAAAGAACAAGAAAGAAAAAAAAAAGCAGAAAGGTGGAACATGCGTTATCTTATCTGGAGACTTTTTGGGAATCCGGTCAGAAACACATATATAGGCACAAGTCCAAAAAAAAAAAGGAAAAAAAAAGTAGAGAAAGTCTTTTTTTCATTATAACAAAGTCTGTACACATGTTATAAATCGATGCGTTTTGAGGCATCCTGTATTCTATTATAATATACAGTGTTATGCATGTGATTGTTGATTCATATAAGCTATATAGAAATGGAATATATTACACTGTCTTGTGTTGAAAGAAAGAAAGAAAGAAAGAAAGAAAGAAAGAAAGAAAGAAAGAAAGAAAGAAAGAAAGAAAGAAAGAAAGAAAGAAAGAAAGAAAGAAAGAAAGAAAGAAAGAAAGAAAGAAAGAAAGAAAGAAAGAAAAAGGCCTAGTAGCGATTAAAATCTGAGCTTCATCTTTCATCTATATTTCATGAATTCTCATTAACTGTTGTTCAATTATAAATTTTACGAAATCCAACTAAGGAAAACACCACTGTTAAGTTCCCCTCAGACAGTCTTTTTTTTTTTTTTTTTTTTTTTTTTGTGGAAGTTCTTTGAGGTTTCGACCTTAGAAAGGTAGGGTGTCGAGGAAAAGTTTGTCAATTATTGCTGGCGGGGGAACTAGGTCCTCTAGTTTTAGGTAAAAGATACGCTGCAGACCTTGGGTGCACAGTGTGCGCAGTTCGGGGAGCTTCCCCAAAAGTTTTGACAGGTAGTTGGGTCGATTCAAACCGCCGCCATTGAATGTCACTTGATCCTTTAGGCAGTTGACGATCTTATTTTGGAGATCCTCGACTCTTTTGGGTTCCTTTAGCCCGTGTCGCTCTGTAAGCAAACAACAAAAGTAGTTAAAAAAATGTTGGTTGTTTTTGTTTTTTATCTAAACGTTAATTCTATGCGCCTTTACGCACCTGTCACCATTGCTAAAGCCGCGATGCAAGAGAAAGCCGAGATGTCTATGTTCATGCTCTGTAAATTGGAAGAAAACTCCACGATGGCGTCCACCCATTCTCCAAATCCGCGGACGCACTGAAGTCTGTGCAGCACCGCTCCATTACAAAATATAAGTTTCCCTTCCACCGGATTGGACCTGCAATTAAAAACAAAAACGCCATTAATTACTCAAGGCGATAAATGAAGGGGGGGATTTAAGAGCCTTTCTAATTATTGGCCAGCTAATAAAGCCAAGAGCAATGAAGCTTGAATAATTATTATCTAAAAGCCCGCTTAGGTTTATTTTGCAATTACTCACCTGTACGCAAGGCGCAGGACGAATAGTTCCAGGAAGGCGGATTCGAAGAGAAGATCCTGATCCTGCTTAGGGAGATCTGAGAAGCCCGGGATCTTCTCCGCCCAGCCTCGGATGATCTCCATGGAGCCCGTCAGGAGGTCATAGAACTGCTGGATGTGCTGAGTGTTGTCTCCGGTCATCTGGTAGTCAGGGTTCGCCTGAAACTGGAATTTAATTTAAACAGCGCCTTAATGAGGTCCTCTTAAAATATATAATCCGTGAAATTGCAAATTCCCATTTCCAAGTGAGGAGAAAGAGAGAGAGCCGCTCACTATTAAATTCATGTCTTTTTATTAAGTTCCTATGTGATGCACTAAAACAAACCAAGAAAAAAAAAGCAAACGTTTGGAGTCAAAGCGATGGATTACAGAAAACTCCAAGGGTGATAGATTCACAGGGAATAAATCAGGAAAATGCCGCCAGTCTGTTATTTCATGCTTTATTCTGTAAGAGCGCAGTTTAGGCTACTCACTCGTGAGTAATCCAGAGCAGACATGGAGGGATTGGAGTCCACATGGGCCCGAACCAGAGCGCTCATGAGGCTCACTGGGGGCGAAGGAGGGGAGGGCTCCTGGGGGCTTTTTGGTTTGGATGGCAGGCGACCTCTCCGTCCTTTAAGGTTATCCGTTCGGACAACTGCGTCCAGAGAAATTTCACATATAAAAAAGAATGATTTATACTCCTATTGCTGTGCGTCAAACCACCAACCTAAGCAAATTTAAACCCAAACTTTCTTTAGGTGCATCTTCTCATTAAACAAAAGGAACATGTTTAAATAAAGCTGATATTTTTATTTATTTATTTTTATGTAAAACATACCTTCTCTCACCATTCCGACGACAAGGCACTTCTGAAAGCGGCAGAACTGGCAGCGATTTCTTCGGCGTTTATCAACAGGACAGTTTTTATTCGCTAAACACACATATTTTGCATTCTTCTGAACGGTGCGCTGCAAAGAAATCAAATACAGAAACCATGTCACGGTTTGGACAAGAATATAGGCTATGAGAAGTGCACAGGACGCACGAGGTGCTCCACAACATAAAACATGTAAAGATGAAAACGATATAATATCAGCGCTATCTGCGCGTCATGACTGAACTAACATGAGGGAATAGAGCAGCAAACACACACGCGTGATCTCCCATATTTCATGTGCTCCTTTGAGGTTCAGCTGTGTGTTTATAATCTGATTTTAAATGGCGGGAGTTTGATTCGATTGAGGATTTTTTTTTTAAATACATGATTGCTTTTTTTCCCCTCTCAACTCACCTTAAAGAAACCTTTGCATCCTTCACAGGTCCTCACTCCATAGTGCTGACAGGCTGCGTTGTCTCCGCACACAGCGCATAGACCCTCGTTTGAAGGCGATCCTCTGGAAGGAGGCGAGGGTACCTGGCTGTCCACCAGCTGGTGCCCATGTCCGAGCTGCAGGGAGTGAGGAAAGGCCAGGCCGGCCTGCTTCCTGATGGTGCTGGGAACAGCGAAGCTCTGCGCGTCCAGGCCGCGGTGCGCTGCGCCCGGGCCGTCGTGGTTCATGGAGACATGCAACGGCCCGTCAAACCTCATCTGACAGCTTGACACGGGGGTACCGGGCGGGGACTGCTTAAACGAAAAGAGCGACAGCCTCGACATGGGGTTTTTGCGCTGCTCTATCATGTGTGAAGTTGCCGCAACGTAGTTCTGATGGAAACTGTGAAGAGAGCCCGGATCCTCCCACATGTGGTTGGACTGGATCTGGAAGTTCGGCGTGCTCGGGGAGTGTGGTGAGGACGGCTTGAAGTACATAGGCCCAGAATGAGCGATCATTTCCTCTGACTGAGGAGGCAAGTGGCTCTGCTGGTGGTAGCCGTGGATCTGGACATCCTCCACTTTGATGGAGGACTGCTCTCCAGAGTGCGGCATCTGATACAGACAAGGCGGTTTGACGTCGTAGCTGGTGTTATAGTTGTCCATGAAGGTGCTGAAACTCGGCAGAGAAGTGGTGGCTGTGATCTCAGTGTTGGTCAAGTCCATGCTAAACTTAACAAACTCGGGTGTTAGGAAGTCGCAGCTGTACTCTCCTGCGGTGTGGTAGCTGTAGCTCTGGGAAGCGGGGCTGGCTCCTTGAGGTGATGATCCATACTGAGCCTGGACGCAGGGCATGGCTGAAAAACCCAGGAAAAAGATTCATTTTTCAGAAAAAAAAACATGGAAATCATACAAACGTATTCATCTGCATCCCACTACCAAAATAAACACGATCCAATATATCTCTATTTGTTTTGCAAAAAATACATAACTTATTCCAATCCTACCTCAAGCTTTTGACAGTTTTCCGGTGACACTTGAAACAGGCAATGCAAAGGAGTGGTGTGGATGTCAGGTTTTAAGAGAGCGCCACTTTTCTGCACCTTCCACTAAAAAAAGAAACACTTCTTGGATTTAATATGTAAGGATCATAAAGTCTTTACAGAGAAATATCAGAATTCAAAACACACATGCCAAATATAGATACATTCATCTTAAACTGCTTAGAAAAAATGTTTGAGTTTGATGCTTAGTATTCAAACTTTACGCACGACTGACAAGTTGCTTGTAAAGCGTAAAACAGTTTAACAATTTAATGTTATAGTAACACACAGTTAAACTCAGAATTAGTCTGGATTTGATATAGTTTCAGTAAAAAAATAAGAAAAGCATCTAAATCGCTTGGTGCCCCTAAGAGAGGACCAAGTGCGCCAGTTTTCTGGTTCGGAGAAGAGAAAGGCAGATCTTACCTCTTTCACATCAGGATCGTCGCTCTCAGTCCATACGATAAGCATATAGTAGGTAACCATCAAATTTGTTTAAAATCTCCAAATCATGAGCTGTCTTTGGCAAAAAGCGCCAAGCGGTGAAACTGTGTGTGACTCCGCGCACTTACAGCGACTCCAGCTCCAACTATCCAGCCTGCCTCAATGTGGCTTTGTTTATGTGAGCTCTGGATGCCGTGGCCCACGTGTTTCGAGGCGCGACGTCATCAGCATCGACAGCGACGCCCACCAATCCGCTTGGGAACTTTCCCAGCTCCTAATTTTCCCCGTGAGTGTGTTTGTCTTGTGCTGTGCGCGCCCTCTGCGCTTCTTCCCCCATGAACCTAAGCAGAGGATGTTGTGGAGGCTGAACCCAGCTTAGTGTCTGCTCTGGACTCAGCGTCATGCCTGTTACAGATGACATCTCTCCGCCCCGGGATGTGGATTTAATGTCTGCCTTACCTGTTGGATAGCCTAGGAGAACAAGTTTTATTTATTTATTTTATTTATTTTTTGGTTGGTTGATTCTCATTTTATTATTAAAGTAGTTCATTTTTGATTTAACTTTTGTCCATATCTGGACAAATATGTAAAAAAAGAAATCTTTAACTTGTTAACTTTTTCCCATCCATCCATCCATCCATCCATCCATCCATCCATCCATCCATCCATCCATCCATCCATCCATCCATCCATCCAATTTTGACTTTCAAAAGAGAAAAAACAAATACATACAGCAGGTAATGTATTTTTTTTAATCAAACATATATAGGGGACATATGCTGACTTTACTTAATTTCCTCTAAATCATAAACTAATAAAGATTAAAGTATATTGGAGTACAGTATTTCAGATATAAGCCATGATAAGGGTGATAAAGAGCCCTAATAAAGCAAGGTTCAATATTAGTCTTTGTTATTTTCTGAAATTTCTCTTTTCAATTGTGTTCCAAATTTAGACCTCAGATGGGGAGGAGCTAGCCTATTCATAGCACCGGTGAGCTGCTGCAGGAGGAAGGGGGGATAATTAGTGGGCCTGTAGCCAGTTGTCACGGGGGACCCAATTTAATCCCTAGAGAGGGAAGTGTGATAGGAGTTGGCAGAATGGACTGACGTAGAAAATGCTCAGGTTGACGCAGTGGCCAAAATAATCTCCAGGCCTTATTGTTCTGCAGCGATGAAACAAACTGATCTCAGAGTAATCTTACACCAGCACCTTGTGGCCAGCTGAGTAGTGGCCTAAATCTTGCTAGATAGGTTCTGGCCTGTGCAGTGAAAGCATGGGAGAGTGCAGACAGAGAGTGCATGTGCAGGGAGTTGGCTCCACATGCTACAGTCAGCATGGCAAAGCTAGCAGTGTTATATATTGCTGGTACAATATGCTGCTGCTTTATTAACCAACCAAAGCAGCCATCAGTCTTAAAGTAACAACCCAGACTAACAGTACAATGGGACATTGTGAGCAGAGGTTAGGGTAGGGGGTGCATATAATTGTAACACTCTCCTCTAGAGGACACTATTGTGCATCAGCCATTGTTAACAAAGATGCACTCTCACCAGTAAACCTAAAACCACAAACCTTGTCTTTGGAGGTTTTTATTGCCATTTAAAAGTGTTTATTCTACTTCATTTTTAAAATTGAAGTCACACTTCATCAGTAAAAATAACACAAAGCGGTACATATATTTCAAGGGTAAGGAAAATGAGAGGCTAGTCTTTTCATTTTTGTGAACAAAAATCTGAAAAGTGTGGCATGGGGCATTCAACCCCTTTAAAATCCTAAATCCATTGCGAAATCCAACCCATCTTTAGGCTTTAGAGGTTATCTAATTAGCAGAGTCCTTCTTAGTGTTATTCAATCTGAATATACAGTTAATGCATCCAATTCAAAAGCATACCAAAATTGACCCTAAAAACACAATCAGAACTAAATTGAAAGGGTTTAGATCTCGAATTATATAAACATTTCCGTGTGCTAATATGTTCTAGTATATGACTAAAGACCCTTTAAGAATCTGTGACAATCCTTAAAAGAATTGTTAATGGACAAACACCACCCTTTGTAGGCCAGCTGCTTTTAAGTGTGCCATGACAGCTTAAACCTGCTATGATATGGTTATATTGTGCGCAATTGATTCAACATTTTAAACCTAAAAAAAAATCTCGTACTCATTGTCTCCAGCTTCATACGGGACATATTTGCGGTGGAAATGTCAAGACACACATTTTTAAAATAATATATAAATATCATTATGCACAGTTAAGGACAATTTATATAGAGCTTTGCTTACACTAATGTTTTCACTTTAGGAAATCTATTCAGTATTTGAGGCAGGTGTAGGAAAATGAAGGGATTATCTTTTTTTTCCTTGTTCATTTTTTTTTCATTCTGATCCTATATGTAACCAAGTCTTAGGGTTTTCTTCGTGTCCAGATCAAACATTGCTCATGAATCAATTACAGCTGAAAAAGCAGTTGGCTGCGCTTTAGGGGATCCATGCAAGGTGTGAATGGTGATCACCACTCAATCCTTTAATGTCTGATCAGCTCTCACTTGAGATTAGGGCTCATGTGGGTGGCTTTCACTGCAGGAACTGTGTCCTGTATGCAAAGTTAACTTCCCGTGTCAACCCTCAATTTACGTCACTGCTTTACGTCATTTGCCTTTAGTTTTTTTTTTCCTCCCTGTGTTGTCCTCTATCAGCACCGTTTGGTGTTTGGTCCAACTGAGATTGTCAGTTTATCAGTATAACATCTGCAAATCTGACAGCGATGCAAAACGTGTAATTAGGCAATCACAAACCCCATGGTGGAGACCTTTCAGCTTCACAATCCAGCTCATCCTGTTTCCTATTTGGCTGATATGCAGGGCCAGCCTGTAACTAAATGGGGCCCAAGGCAGATTTAACTGCAGGGGCTCCTTGCCCCAGCAGCACCGCTCTATTTAATTTTCACACATTGTGTGACAGGCAGTCAACTTTTTGGTGAAATCCCTAACACACCTAAATACAAGTCATATTGTGTCATGTAAAATGGGGTACCACCTCTCCAACCCTAACTGATACCTTTATTTAAAGGGATTTTAGTCTAAGATAAGAGAGCATGATACAGTAGAGATGGAAATACTGTTTACAGCTGGGTCCAGGGTTCAATGTATAACTAGAGGCTTTCTTTATTTTTATATCATATAACTTACTACTTCATTTCCAACTGCAGAATGGTGCAGATGAAAAGGACACTTTTTCCAAATGTACCAAATTGTTCGTATACAATTTTTATGGTCAACTAATAGAATGGGATTATCCTTTTTGTCAAATCTATAACAACACCAAGTAGTTTATATTCCTTTGTATATAATTAGTTTACTGTTTTTATATTTAAAAACATGGTACAGCACAAAAAACTCTTTGTTCATTTTTTTTAACTCTCACTTATTCTGTTATTTTTGAATACTTTTTGAGGTCCACATTGTGTGACCACTTTTGCTATAATATTTTGCTTCTGTAACAGCACAATTTCCCCATTGTGGGACAATAAAGGGATTTTATATTCTATTCTACTCTATTTTAATATTAAAATCTACATGTTTTATTTTGTGGATAATTAAAAGCTCTTTCAGAGTCAGTTTCAGAAGTGCAAATATTAATTTACCTTTCTCAGAGATACATATTCCCGATACTGCTGTAGCAGACATTGCATTGATATATATATACCAGGACATTATATAAATTATATGGTATTTTTAAACGTTTTTAATCTTTAGCTCTACCCTTAAGAACACAAAAGCAATTAAAATATCAACACGATTTTGTTAAAATGTTTGTGATTTCTTCATTGTGTTACTGCATTGATTACCTCATGTTGCCACATATTTTTCTGCCAGTTACTTTTTCTTCTTCAGATGGTTAGCAAAGCAGAGAGGCTTAGAGAAAGCCCCTGGAGTATCTGACTAAAGTAAATATGTTTTAAAAGGTGGAATTTTAAAATGTTTTCAAGAGGTTTAAAATTTGTGGTCCATTAAAGTGACCTGTTGAAAGAGAAAGAACCTGAAATTTATTGCTGGATATAAAGGTCCTGGTAATTGGTTTCGGTCATTTTTACCTTATATTATTTCTTGCATTTCCTTTTTTCAGTCTTATTGCTTTTGACTTTTCCTGGTCTAATAAGGAGTCATCTGCTAAGATAAGTTTTGTATTGACCATTAATCTATTTGCAAGAACATTTGGAAAACAGGACTTCAAGTGATTTAATTGTAAACTATGTTGTATTGTAACTCCAAGAAATCATATATGCTCTACAGTTAAAATAGTTTAATACATTGTATTTTAAGACTAGACTGACAGAGACAGCAATAAGAACCAACATCACTGAATAAATTAAGCAAAAACATGTCTTCACATTTTATAACTTAAATTAAGTAAAATTATACTTGAGATTTACACATTTTATGGAAAGTTTCCTCTCTATCTGGTCAATAACCTTATAAAAATGACTATGCATAAATTAAATGAAAGGAAATCATTGTTTACAGGTAAAAATTAAAAGGAAAGTCTTTGGACTTGTTTCACCTTTGTCTCTCCCTTATGAAAACGTACTTGCAAGCATAGAAAGTAGATGAAAGTGCTCACTTATAAGCAATTTCATAAAATACACCTATACATCAGGATGAAAAAGGGACTTACTACAATTTTACGCTTTTTATAAATTATCTCACATTGTTGTTTTCTTTCTTAAAATCTAAAAAATGAATAATAAATGGGTTGCTGACTTTCTTTTAAAATTAATCCAAGGATGAAAATCCACTCTCCATACTCACAAGACTAGTGTCATCTCCAACCTTCGGCAGGTCTCAAACTTTCTGATAACTGTACAGCCCGACCCTGAAGGCATCTCTTTGTTCGGTGTCTTCCTTCCATTCCTGAATTCCCACTTTACAAGCCTAAACGTCTACTTAATATGCTTTAATGCCTGCTCTTTAGAGCCAGGAAGCACTTCATCACTTTTATACACCTTTATATAACACACTGTTAACTAGCAATGCCTTATGGAGCAGCTTGTCTTGCAGCTGGAAGGCGCCTCCATGGCATGATGGAGGTATCTGTTCACCATTCACAATGAGACAGTAAAATGGGAATAGAGGCCTCTGCATACTGCTGCTGTCTATATCAGTCAGTGATGAATATTCATGAATCACAGTGTCATGACATGCTCTGTAATTGGCAGCAACATTAGTAATGACA